AGAAAGAAAAGAAAAGAAAACCTATGCAAGCAGGTATGTTTTCAATTATGCATTATGACCACTGAAAAATCAACTCCTTTACCAATCTTTTTTTTTATTTTTAATTTTTTTTTTAAAGATGACCGGTAAGGGGATCTTAACCCTTGGCTTGGTGTTGTCAGCACCATGCTCACCCAGTGAGCAAACCAGCCATCCCTATATAGGATCCGAACCCATGGCCTTGGTGTTATCAGCACCACACTCTCCCGAGTGAGCCACGGGCCGGCCCCTCCTTTACCAATCTTAATAGGAAATGTGCATGGCACATAACTTTTCTGTGTCCAATTTGTCTTTTCTGAAGATGGCCACAGCAATATAAATCCCATCTCACTCAATCTTCTTACAATATGATGCTGCTGTTCTTCTGTTGAGTGGTGCAGCCTATGTTTCCTCCCCTTGAACCCAGTCATATCTTGTAACTGCCCTAACACAATGTGGTAGAAGTGAGCCTGCCAGGTAAGACACCTGCTTCTCTCCCTCCACTTGCCTTTGGAACCCAGCCACCATGTTGTGAGGAAGCCTGGATCACATGGAGAGGCCACGTGTGAGGGTTCCAACAACCTCAGCTAAGGCTCCAGCTGCCAGCCAACATCAACCACTACACATGTGAATAAACGAGCCTCCAGATTAGAGCTATCTGTAGAATGTTCTATGGTCATGGAAACCTTCTATGTCTACACTGCCCAATATGGTAACTTACTACCATCTGAGGCTACTGACCAATTGAAATATAGCTACTGTGAATTTTTAATTTTGTTTAACTGTAGTCAATTTTTATGTTTATTTTTGGGCGGCAAGCCAGTACAGGGATCAAACCCTGGACCTTGGCGTTGTCAGCACTACACTCTAACCAACTCAACTCACTGGCCAGCCTCTCCCATGTTTTAAAAGCCCTCTAGCAATGATTGTCTGTCTCTTCTCTTCACAGCCAGGCTCCTGGAGTGAGTGGTTTACACACACCTTCCTGACTCACAGCTTATTCACTACTCAATGCCCACTGCACTCTGGATACCCATGAGGCCACAGTAATATTAGTCCAGGCTTATTTCTTCCACTAGGAATTTTCCTAGGACTTCAGCACCCAACTCTGTTTTATGTTCTCCCTATTTATTTCTAGGGAAAACTTGCCCTGGTTGAGAAATTGCCAAAAAGCCTCACAACTTTTCTCAGTGGACTAGAAAATGACACCCTTTTTAGGAAAAGGCACCCCTTCCCAAGGGCTCATGCAATCATTGGCCAAGGTCCATGGCCTGGCCAGCAGAGTGAGGGCTCCCCTGGGCTGCTGTCCCTCTGCAGGGCACCCACAGCACGCATTGCACAACCTTGTGAGGTAGCTGGGGTGTTGGGGTGCTCTGCTCTTTCTCACATCTGCCCATCGACATTCCTCTCACATGGTGCTCTGGTCTCCTCGTGGATGTCTGTGTCCCATGACGTCTCTTGTAAAGCGCCTTGTTTGTTGGGCATCCGTTTCCATCCCAGAGTGCTTCCCAAACCGCAGAGCCCCTGGGCTCTTTCCTGCTCTTCTCTGCACCGAAGCTTTGCCATGCTCCTCAATGAAGTGTGGAGAATGGCCTGTCAGCTCCACTGTGTGGCACAAAGCTTACCATGAAAACAGCTCTTCTGGCTGGTGGCTTTGACTTCTTCTTTGCACAGGGTTCAGAAGCAGTCATGGGGTATGACAGAAACAGTGCAGCCCCCTCCATGTACACCCTCTTCCTGCCTCTGCAGGAATGCCCTTTCTGTAATCCCCTCTTCCCTTTCCTGAAGCTAGCCTGTTCACCAGTCCTCAAGTGTGATCTTGGGATCCAAAGGAAATTCAAGATAACAAAGTAAGTAAAATCCCCAACTCCATGTTTGCCCAAATTAGCAAGACAACTGGGTGGAGTTGTGTGGTTTAGGGTTTCAATTTCCTAGATCAGACAGACACCTTTATTACAAAAGGCAGGAAATATTTCCATGATACAAGGTCTCTACAGGTGGCACGGGTTACTTTCTCTTTCCATTGGGAAAACACACGTTTATCCCATAAAAGGCTGAGCCAATGCCTACCTGCTCTGAAAGGCTGTTTTCCCAGTTTCAGAAAGCCTGAAACGTGGCAAACCATGTTATATTCAAGGATATCTGAAGATTAAACAAGGCACATCAGGATTTGACTCTTTCCAGTTCATATCTGAGATTACGTGGTTCAACATGTATTTTATACCAGTCCATCTAAGAAAGGGCCAATTTATAATGAGGGGTCCTAATTTGTTTGGAAAATCTCAAAGTATGACAAATTATGTTGATTATAACTGAATCCAAATTTCCCAAAGAAACACACACAAACAGACACACCATTTCCCCCTACTAATCAGCTATGGAACACTAAATGGATTTGTTGCTCGTCAGGTAATAAGAGTCTACATTTTTGTTTTAGGATGAATATGAATAAACTCAGTGGTATTAAACAGACTAGTTTTTCAAGAGAAAAGGAAATACTATTTTGCCCCAAATGACATTCTTGGATATCACTGTCAAAATATTGTCTGATAGAAAAAAATGGCAGGCATGATTAAACTTCTTGTATATTTAGTGAATTTTTCTTTTTTCATCATTAATTATATAAATCCTCAAAATCTTGTGAAGTAGATCAATGTCCTTCCTAATTTGATAAACATACAGTTCTCAGAAATAATACTGATGCTAACTAAAATTCAACATTTTGAAGAAAACATTTTAATATTATATACTTTATGGATAATTTTATATTGAAAATCAAATGTGGCTCATTCTAGGTCCTCTAATATAAATGTGTCATAGAGGAAAATTATGTTTAGAACATTAATTTTGATATTTCAAGAAATTGGCCAGTTACACGGAATTATAAATCTATAACTTGGATACCAATTCTTCTATGCAACAAAGCTTGTAGGGATTCCCTTTGCTAATTTCCCCCTTGGGGTATCTGGGTGTGGTTTGTTTTCTTCTCTGACTGGAACAAAGATATGCAGGAAAATCTTCTTTTCCAACTAAAATTCCTTATTCTTACAAACAAAATTATGCAGAGAGAAAAAAAGCAGCAGATCTAGCCTGGCTCAACTGTTTGCTTATATTAGTACATATATTGGATTTAATCCAAGTTAACAAAAATAAAGCCACAGGATAGGTATATGCAGGAGTATATTTAAGCTACTGGCTCACACACATTTTAATGGCTGAAAGTATATAAAAAATATGAAGGCGGAAGAAAAACAGTAAGCAGTTACGAAACATAACAAGTTTTCATATTCTTTATTAGTCTACATGAAGCTAGAACCTAATAACAATATGCCACATATGGTTCAGAAACACACAAAGGCAGCTTAGTCATTTATTTTGCATTTGCTCCTTTTAGAAAGTGAGAAAAAACAGCCCTATTGGCACTCAAGTTTATTTTCAATTAAAATCCCCAGAAATTAGAAAATGTCTTATAAAACTGTGAAAATGGAAAAAAAAAATGTTGTTCAGAAAAAACTTTCTTAACTATGCTTGTTTCCTATGGCACCTTGCATTTTTTGATCAGTCTTATAAGGACACTTAAGAAATAATTCAACCTCTGTGTTCATGTTCAGAATACATGAGCGTCTTGATGCAAATAAGAGAAAAAATGTATACTTGCTTAGTTTTGAGCAATTCTGCCATTTGCTCAAGTCCACATGAATGAAAGCACACCGCTTAGAAAACCAGGGCTTTGCTGCCATTGTATTTTTTCTAATTAAAATTCAGAGTATTAAACACAGTCGAGTAGATCCATGCATACATGACATACCGTCATCGCATACCGGAAGCTCAAATCAAGAGAAGGGAGCAGAGGCTTATCTCATAGCATCATTAAGATTCATTGTACATTGCATTTCAGAAGGGCTTTGTCAAAGTAGATAATAATGGCCTGTCAGAAACGTGCAAACAGAAATTTATATTAAGTTGCCCTTTCCATCCTTTTTTAGTATGAGAACCTAGTTGCATTCCTGGTATACGAGCTCAAGGCTTAATTGAAAAGGTTTCTAGGTTCTTAATAATGTAAAATATTACCAAAAAGAATATTAAAAAAAGTTAAGTGAAAAATATTTGAGTAACTAGGTAGGGGTATTCCTGGGAAAAGTAATCAAATGTAATGACTGTATGAAAACAAAAGACAGTATAGAGTGAAAAGACAGGAGAGTGAACGTAGCTAGAACTCATGAGTCACAAGGCAGAGCGTTTAATTGGGAACAAGTCAAATAAAAGTGTTGCTTTCTTTTCCTTAAGGACCTTTGGTCCTCTTTATACTATAATCTCAGAAAAGAAATTTCTCTCATTGAAACACCTTTTTTTCCTTTTATATCCTGCTGCGTGAAGATGACTGCAGAGACAAACTTTACAAGCTGGTTCCTGACAGCATGCGTACGTATGATGTTATCCGGGAATGAGACGGTGAGGATTTTCCTCCTTACACTCGATATTTTTCTTTACCATGTTCATTGATCACACATATATGCTGAAATAATAAAGGATTTTAAAGGCATCAGTTTCTTAACAAAATATGAGGCACAGAAAATGTGATGCAGTATTAACGGATGCCATCCTGTAATGGGTTATTGTTCATTGAAATATACACGCTTTTTTATTTTGGCGGCTGGCCAGCATGGGGATGTGAACCCTTAACCCTGGTGTTATCAGCACCACGCTCTCCCAATATATGTGTGTATTCTGTGTGAGTGTGTGTGTGTGTGTGTGTGTGTGCAAAATCTAAAGAGACCCAATCAAATGCCTGAAAGTTCCTTGTTTTGGTTTTGAGCCTTATTCCGAATACAGCTCCTTAGATCCCTAAAAAGTAGAAATTCTGAGGGAGAAGTATGTTTAGCCCTGGTGGAAATGAAGTCTCCTATGGTAAAATGACAACCGCTTGGGTGAATGGAGAAATAACAGTGGTGAATACAACATAGACTCTTATTCAACCCTTTTTGTGTAGCAAGAAATGCGTTAGAGATGTTCTGATTGCAAGCAACAGAAATGGAGTCAGACTACTATAAGCAAAAAAGGGGGATTTATTGGTAGGATACTGGGATAGCTTGCAGAATCCAAGAAGAGCTGAGCAATGACATAGCTAGAGGGCAGGAACACGGATAGCTCCAGAGACTTCACCCATGTGCTTGTGGACACTGTCTGGGCACTGCTACTATAGTGGCTTAAGTCTAAAACACCTTGGTCTCTGTGACTTTCGGTTTAAGTTTCTAATTTCCAGAAGTGAGACACTGATTGTTCCACTTTAGGTAAGATGTCTACTTTAGATCATTCAATGTTGGTCAGGATCACACAGCTAGGGTTCCACACTGGGGGTCCACGTCTGTGTGCTGAAGCCATTTCCTCAAAAGAAGGAAGAGTTATGAGCTGCATGACACTGTAATTGGAATCTGCAAGATTTCAAGCATTGACACAAAACCGTTTATAGAATAGTGGCTGTTGTTTTGGTTGGTTGGGTGTAGTCTATGACTATGGAGAAAAATCGGGGTCAAGCCATAGTTCTGCTTTTAGTTCCTATTTCTTCAGCACAAAATAGAGACAATCATCATCTGCTCCCATCATCCTAATACCCACCTTGAAGCATAGTGTGGGGAATTAACTAGAAGTATGGACGCAAAGTGCCCAGCATATTCCTGACACAGAAGGTACCCAGTAAACAGCAGTCATCGTTACTACTGTTTCAATAATTTGTTAAATTGATAAGTCACTGTTAAGTTCTTACAAAAAGGGGGCTAGGGATTTGCATGCGACACTTACATTCAGATCTCTGAAGTATTCGTTGTAATCTAAGGCATATCCCACCACAAATAAGTTTGGAATCTCAAATCCAGTGTCTTAGCAGAGAGAGAGAGAGAGGAAAAACAAAAAGAAATAAAATTTAGGTTATAAGTTTAAAGCCATCATATGCTGCAGTTGGCACTCAAACTGTGAAGATCTTTCATTTAAGCAGAATAAGAGAGAAAAGTGGTAAGAAATGCCCAAAAGGAACCTGGACCAGAATGATTACTCAGGGAGACAAGGCAAACACATGTACAATGAGGAATGGTTGCACTCCTCACATACAGAGTTGAGAATGGGCTCAGGAAGCCAGCGGATAACAAGTATGCATGAGCTAGTCATGTGGCCCTGTTGTTCCAAAGCAAGCAGTATGCAATGATATAATGCAAAGGAAACACTCAGAAAAACATAAAAAGCTGTTCAAACAGAGCACATTATAACACTGCAATACATGAATAGTTGTGCGGGCCACAGAAACCAGGAAGCAATTCTCCCACTGAACTCCGCGTCCTCAGCTGGTTAAAGGGCTGGAAAGCAAAACCTGGGAGACAAGATGAAAGGAGATGGGATTGTTCAGCTGGAGCAAGAGAAGGCTAAGGGTTACTTTAATGCTGGTCTTTGAGTCCACTATGCAGAGGATATTAATTAGCTCTTCATCTCTACTGAGGACAGAATGAGAGGAAATGGGTTTAAATGCATTACAGAATACTTAGGTTAAGCAAAAGAAGAACTTATTTAAAGGATGATTTTTATTGGAGAGGATCCTCAAGGAACAGACAATCGCTTTCCTTCTTCAGAGGTCTTGAAACAGAATAAATGTGCCTTGGTCCAGTGATTTTTAAACTTTTTTTCAGTGTTTTAGAATCTAATAAGTTATGAAACCATACTTAGTGCAGCTGGTGGACTTATAGCATGGGCAAAGTTATCTCCAGAGTGATTACTTACTAGCAGTTCGATCCCTACGACCAAAGCAGCTTTTATCACATAGAGAAATCAACTGGTTCCTGCTTACAGAAAGTGGTAGAGCTGAGGGACTTATTTTCTAGGGGGTTACATTATAGGGTCACTTGTTAGGGAGCCTGTTTGATTCTTCCAAACTGCAACATTTCTTGAGAAAAATAATCAAAGAAGGGAAACACAGAGCAGAAGAAAAGATGTCAGAGGTTACATTGCACATATAAGAAAGAGTCAATTATGGGAAAGGAACAGAAAACCAGAGAGAGAGAAGAAACAGAGATTCTGAGCTAGCTATAAAAATATGAGTAAATGCCAGGAAACCCTGGTTGTAGCAATAACCACTTTACAGTGAGCAACGCAATCCCTACACTAGGCGTGGCAACTCAGACTGGGAAAATTAGAGCCCAAAGCTAGTTCAGAAGGCCAACCATTGAGATGTCACGGAATAAAAGGACGATGGATCAGCAGGACAGTCAGGAGTCAGACTGCCCTGTCGCTGACTGGTAAATGAGTGTGGCTTCTACACATACATTTGCAATTGCAGATGTAGCGCAAGAGTCAGAGTAGTGAACGGCACCAGATTGTCTGGGTTTAATACTGGCCCTATGCTTACAGCTATGTGACCTTGGCAAGCTATTTAAACTCGCTGTGTTCAATCTCCTCATCTGCAAAATGGGTATAACAATTGTACCTCCCTGTACAGAGCTGATGTGAGGTTGAACTTAGTTAATTTCTATAAAGCTCTTAGAACGGCGCCTGGTATAACATAACCTCTTACCAGTGTTAGCCGCTATTGTTTTATTAACATTGTTGTTATAAGCAACACAAGAAATTTGTAATTGATTGGATATATTTGAAGTGAATGTTTTTCAACTTCACTTAAAATCTTATCTATATAGTATCTTATACTATTTCCTTAGAAAATTTGTTTAGTAACCTCATGCAACCCTAACTACGTCCGCATTATATTCCCGAAGCCAGTAACAACAGGAACATGCTACTGGGTCTGTCTGCCCAGAACTGACATGGTCTAGAGTTAGCATATCCAACACAGGAATGAGACTTGTTTTTAAAACCAAAAGTCACTGGATGAATGTCACTGGCATGTTACCCATCCATACCGTACTTCTCTTTTTCTAGTGTTTGTTCAGCTTGCTGATGAGAACTGTAGCCAAATTATCCCAGGGCTTTAGAGCAAATGCAAGTTATACAAATCAAGCTGAAGTCTGCCTATGCAAGTGAAACAAATCACCTCTAGTGTTAGAATAATAAATAATCAGGCTGCTTGTTTATCCTTTCTGGAGTTAGAACTTGTTCTACTATGGGGAGAAGTAAGGAACATGCCCTAGATGAGGAAGGCCCCCCAGAACACATGTCTGAAGTCAAGTGTGAAGATGTTATCTAGAGATACCTGCTCTGCTAATTCTCTGTTATTGAGCTTTTGTTCAGAGGTGGTAGGGAGATGTCTCTGATTTCTCCCTCTGCACGCTAAAATTGAGGCTTGCTAAAGGTCACCATTGTGCATTGTCTGGTAAGAGTTCCCGAAGATGGTATAAGAATCCCTCTCAACCTTTATAGAGCCTCTCGGTGTCTGATTGGCCCAGGCAGGGATCCTGTGCATGTGAATCGGTCCAGCGGGGTCAAGCCTTCCTCTACTTCCTGAAATGGATTAGCTGAGTTCTTTGTAGTTCAGGTGCTGCATAAAACCCCAAAATAAAAATATCCAATGCATAGAATAGAGTTCCTGTGAAAGATCCAAATTAGAAAATTTAAGACCCTTATTTTAAAGGGTTTTATCCTCCCTAGCAAGGCAGGGGAGACCACGAGGAATTTGTGGGACTATCAGTCCTACACGGCTCCCCACTTCACACGGAATGCTGTTAAATAGGAAATCAAAGATTCTTAAGCACAACACAAACCACCACCACCAAAAACCAAACAAACAAAAACCAAATAAAACACTTACAGTCAGGTCTGAAGCCATCACTTCTGGGTGTTCTCTTGACCAATAAACTACCATTGAAAAAAAAGCTTTAGTGATCTCAATAAAATCTCGGTGAATTACAAATAGAATTAAACATCATTAAAATCTGTATTTAAAATATGTGTTTTTTCCCCTCGAGCCTGTGGAGCTTCATCTCAGCCTTCTTTTAACTGGTGCTCTTGCTAGCGTGGCACCAGATCAAGGATTCTGGATAAAAGGAAGGGAGCAGACAATCGCAGCAGGGCTCATCTGGCTGCTCCCAAAAACATCTAATGGAGGCAGAGAAAAGAGGGCTGCAGAGACACAGCTAAGCATGTCCTCTTCCCTTCCTCTCCCAGGCTAGCCGTCCATTGGGCTATTTTTTTCAGTGTGGCCAAAACATAACACCCCAGGGCAAAAGGTCACTGGTTTGCAATAGAGTCTCTTCTTTGTAAACAGCATCCTCTGTCAGCAACCCATTTGCTTGTTTGAAAAAGACAGAAATCACAATGATATGAATGTCCCACTCACCTGGCCACCTTGATCATGTTGGGCTTGTATTTCTCTATGCTACTGAGCAGTGCTTTCATGGTCCTCCCAGTTCCAACAACATCCTTCGCAAAGAGGACACACAAATTCAACAAAACACATTCGGGCAGCATAAGGGATTTTTCATCCAGGGAGACATTACTTCTTAATAATGTGCCATAATTAGAAATGCTTTCTAATTGCAATCTAAGTAGGAGGTAGAGTTGGTTACATCTTTTTAGACAGGTGCTTCCTTCTGGAAACTGGGTTTGGGGGAATATGTCGGTGAAAATTTCCTCCTTGAATCCTTTAGCTGCGTTGAAGGGCTAAATTTGGCCTTTGGAGAGCATGTGGGCTCCTCGTTGAGCACATTTGGACTCGTGCATGCACATTCAAGGACTAAATTTGGCCCTGGGGTTATGTAACACAATACAAGATGCATGAATTTTCATGGACCTGGGATGTACATCTGAATACACTGAATGGATAAACACCTCCCCCTTCTGCTCCCCTACTCAATAGGGGATTCTATGGCTGGGAAATGTGATGTGTCTGGACAGCAGCTGGTGACAGTCCCTGAATTCTGAGGGTCAGTGGCTGCAGTGAGCTCAGGCTCATCCCCGCTGATGAGCTGCTGCACAATTAGAGTAGAGTGGGCAGCAGCAATTTATTGTCCTTGGGACAGAAATCAGCTGTCAGGAGCTAATTATCAAAACGACAGGTCTGAATTTAGCCAGGGTTGGGCAATTTGTCTGGCTAGAGGGTCTACTTCATGGGTTATGTTGGGCCAGGAGAACTGCAGATTCATATGGCACAATCAGGCAATTGTGGAACAAAAGCCTGAAAATAGCCCCCCTGAATCTTTGCCAGCTGATAGGACAGGTGTGTCCCTGAACAAAGCACGGCCATTTGCTGTATTAGTCCACTGCTGCCGCAGGCCTTGCTCTTTCTCTCTTTCTTTCTTTCAACAGAAAAATAATTTTTTAAAAATCATAGCTTTCTCCTACATTGCCATTTTTAACTGACTGTATTTATGATTTTGATACTGAAAGTATTTGAGAATTGCTCAGACTCACTAGGGGTCATTAGCTAGAACACTGAATTAAGGATAAAGAGAGTTCCAACCTTGGTTTTATGATCATGTAATTTTGGTTTTGTAGGCTGGTTTCCTCTAAAAATTCTGACTCACAAATAGATAAAAGAACAATTCAGACATATGTGAAACTGGATATAAAAAAGGATAAGTATCTCATAACTATTATTGCAAAGCTTTTGTTCTAAATTATTTGAAGCCAATGATTCCAGTTGTCTCCTATTCAATAAATTTGGAAACTCAATAAATCCTTGGCCAATTTGATAACAAGTTGTATGTTTTAAAACTCACCTTTAGGGGCCGGCCCGTGGCTCACTCGGCAGAGTGCGGTGCTGATAACACCAAGGCCATGGGTTCGGATCCCATATAGGGATGGCCGGTTAGCTCACTGGGTGAGCGTGGTGCTGACAACACCAAGTCAAGGGTTAAGATCCCCTTACCGGTCATCTTTTAAAAAAATAAATAAATAAAACTCACCTTTAGATTCCTTCAACTTCCAAATATAGAAAAGGAAAAGGCAGCTTACCTCAACGATGAGGACATTCTGAAACGAACAAAACTCATATTTTAGAATACGATGGCTCACAAAATAAACACACATTTTGCTTATAGTTAGAATTTCATAATTTGCTTTGTTGGTCCTTCCCCATCTATCTAATCCAAATGACTGAGGTAATCGAGGTATTCCAGATTCATTTTAACAATCCCTCTGGAATTACTTGGTGTTGCAATATTAGTATCTATATTCCAGTTAGGAGCAGGCTTATTTTAGCCTGTTACCTGTCTGAAGAGCTATCCATAAAGTCATTGCACCTCAGTAATTCTGGCAAGTGCTCCCATGTAGCATTCCTTCGGGATGCAAAGCTTACAAAGAGTTTACTGGGAAAACAAGCCAACACAAACTGCATCACCAGTGGAAACAGTGCTCTGTAGGTGGATCATGTATTCAGCTACAACACCCCTATTCCTGCATAGCCCTCTGAATCCCTGGGGACTCAGTATTTACTCTTGGATTGAAAACCCTGAGGAAAGGGGTGTGCTACAGAATGAGCTATAAGGTGCTTAGTTTACCTTTTTAGTGTGATGTTTAGGTCCCTGGCTACCTGCTCTCCAGGCATTCCTCTACTTCTCCCCTAAGAGCATTGATTATGTTTCATTTTAATTTCTTGTTTGATAACTCCATGAGATGAGGATCACTTTGTCTTGCCTAGTAATGCATTCCCAGGCCCTAGCATAATGCGTACATAAAGATGCTCAATAATTATTTGCTAAATGAAGGAATAAAAACTGATTAAGCTTATTAATGAGTTAGCATCAACCAATTAACTGGGCTAGTAGTAACTTGTCAATGCTGTCCCACCAAATTAAAATACGACTGTGTTAATGCGCCATTCTGATTAACTAAATAATGACAATATTCTCTCAATGTAATGGTGTTTTTCTTTCTTTAGATGACCTTTCATTTATCCCTGTGATTTATGTAATACTTTAAAAACTGGATGAAGGGCCGGCCCATGGCTCACTTGGGAGAGTGTGGTGCTGATAACACCAAGGCCAAGGGTTTGGATCCCTATATAGGGATGGCTGGTTAGCTAACTTTGGAGAGCGTGAAGCTGACAACACCAAGTGAAGGGTTAAGATCCTCTGACTGGTCATCTTAAAAAATTTTTTAAAAAATACTGGATGAAATCTTACACATTAGATATCTTACATATATCTAATGCAAAAGAGATTTAAATAATAAAAATGTTAACCAACCAGCCAACCAACTCTGTTAAATTTGTACCATACATCAAATGCATTCTTAGGTGGAAATACCTTTCTGGAAGTGTTTCTTTGTCAGGAATGGTATTTTTATTAATTAAATCCACTAAAAATCTTAATTTCATCATTAAAATGTAAGATTATTTTGTCTATTTTGAAGCAGGTCCTGCTTTGGTATACTCTACTTTAAGAATCATCACAAAGGAGTCCCCTTGATTTGATATGATCTTAACCATCAATCCATAGCAGTTAGTTAGGATGTGCATTTTTTTAGTGGTTTTTTTTTTTTTTTGCATTTTTAGTTTGATTGAGGCTTACCAACTAGGACTATTTACCAACCAGAATACTTGGAGAATGTTGTGGTTAATTTAATTTCCTGATCACAATCTCTATTTGTTTCAACTTCATAAAGAAAAACTTTTCTAAAATGTGTTAGTCTGCATTCTTGCCTAATTAAATAGAGTGCACCAAACATAATTAAAAATTTTTTTTGACAGTTCAGAACCTTGCAAAACAAGAGTCATCTTTGGAAAGACTAGCTTCAACTCTAAGATATAGTGGTAGGTGAGAAGTAGGATGTATATTTGTACCGACCCTGAGATATATTGTCAAAATTACCCAAACACATTTTAAAATCGAGGTAATGCATATACATGTTCAAATAGATGGAAAGGTTTTTAAAGAATAATCTCCTCCTCCTACTTCACCTCTCCTCATTCCCAGTTGTGCTCCCCAGAGAGAGTCACTTTTAACTCTTTTAAACTGTTTTTCTGATTGTTACTTCTTTATTTCTAAAAAATTATTATATTAATGTTTCATATACTATTTCTGTTTTTAAAAATATTTAAATCATTTATTGATTTTTAGGTTGCTTGTTTTAAATAAAGGGTTTTCAAGTACCAATGCATATTCATTTTTATTATATACTTACACTTATTTTAAAAAGTTTGTATTTTCTATAATACATAAATACAAAAAAATTATAGAAGGTTTGTAAACAGAAAAGCCCAAAGATTTTCTAAATGTTTGATGTGAGTGTAATTGTCTAAAGTATTTTAAAATGTTTGTGTGCTTTAAAATAAAGTTATCATGACATTCTTTAGTATGCATAGGCAAAATATTATCACATCTAACAAAAATGATAATTTCTTAATAAAGTCTACTACATGTTCAAATTTCTCCAGTTGTCCTTAAAATGGCCTTGGTAGCTGGTTTGTCCAATCTAAGACAATGTATTAGATCTTTCTCTTTTTATTTAGAACAGTCTCTATTTCTGCACTTTTATTTCTCAATTTAACAATTTTATTTTATTTACTTATTTATTTATTTTCAGTTGGCCAATATGGAGGATCTGAACCCATGACCTTGGGGTTATAAGGCTGCACTCTAACCAACTGAGCTAACCGACCAGCCCTCAATTTAATAATCTTAGACATCATCTATTTATTGTTATTTAATAGATGAGAATTCAGTTCTTCTACACTACTTCACTGTCCCCGTTTTCCATGCAGTTGCTTTGTTATGCTTGTATCTTCTTATACTACTTACACTTTTTTTCTACTGAAGAGTCAAGTAGTGCGCTAGGATTATATTTCCTTTTAGAGCTTGTTTCTTCTTTTTTTGGATTCTTAATTGTTTTTTCTTTCTGTCTTTTTTTGGGTGACTGGCCCATACAGGGATACAAACCCTTGACCTTGGTGTTATCAGTACCTAACTGTTTTTTCTATCTTTGTCT